GATCTTGGCTCACTGCAACCTCCACCTCCCGGGTTCAAGCAATTCTCCCACCTCAGCCTCCTGAGTAGCTGAGATTACAGCCACCTGCCACCTTGCCCAGCTAATTTTTATATTTTTGGTAGAGATGGGGTCTTGCCATGTTGGCCAGGCTGGTCTCTAACTCCTGACCTCAGGTGATCCACCCACCTCGCCCCCCCAAAGTGTTGGGATTACAGGTGTGAGCCACTGTGCCCAGTCCTAATTTTTGTATCTTTTTGTAGAGATGGGGTTTCGTCCTGTTGTCTAGGCTGGTCTGGATCTCTTGGGCTCAAGCTGTCCGCCTGCCTCGGCCTCCCAAAGTGCTGGGATTACAGGCGTGAGCCACTGTACCCAGCCTTAGTTGTTGTTTTCCTATTACTGAACATTTGGCTTATTTCCAGTTTTTGGCTGCTGCAAATAAAGCTGCTATGAACATTCATGTATAGGTCTTTTGGTGTACTTAAGCTCTCATTTCTCTTGGGTAATTACCTAGGAGAAACATCGTTGGTTCATGTGGGGGAAGAAACTTGTCACAGAAATTTTACTTGAGTAGATTTTGCCGAACAGATTCCCAAAGTGGTTGGACCGATTTTTCACTTCCTCTGTTAATGTATGAGAACTCCAGTTGGTCTGTGTTCTTTCAGTCTTTTAAATTTTAGCTATTATGGTACCTTAAGTTTAATGCTTCATTTGGGTAGTATGAAGGCTAGGGTGATCAACTGTCCTCATTCGCTGGGGACTGAGGGGTTCTCTAAATGAGGGACTTTGAGCCTTAAAACCGGGAGACACTCCCTAATGAGGTTTTTAGGTGAGTTAGCAGGATGTGAAGGGAAAAGCAGTAAATTCCCACAGTCAAACCAAGCCCAAGTACAGATACCTAGGCTATCCTTATCCAGAGATGTGTTCTCTAATTACCAAAGACAGGGGCCCGGCCATCCACTCCCTTTCCCTTCTGGTGTCCGTGCAAACTGATTTCTTTGGAGAAGCCTCTGCTGGCTCATCAAGCTACGTGAATTTCCTCCGTCGTGCTTCCAGAGTATGCCGCATAATTTTATGGTACTCACTACATCTAAAGGTATATATTCTTGCCTGGAATCCGGGGTGGACTGTAATTCAGGGTAGGACTTTTATGTCTTCCTCATAGATAGCCCCAGAACACGTTGGTCGGCACATCAATAAATTTCCTTTTTTTTTTTTTTTGGCTGGAGGTAGGGTGGAAGGGAGGACACAGATCCTTGTTGAAACATGTGGCAAGGCAGATTGTTAGATGTATAAGCCATGAAAGTTTAGTTTTTACCCTAATGGTGGTTGGTTGGAAGTTATTGAGGCCTTTTTATCAAAACTGGAGAAATATAAATTGTGTTTTAGGAAGCTGCTTGCTGGGGTGTTAATGAATTAGAGGATGGATGGTGCTCTGTTGCTGCTAGATAACTTGGTTCTGATTCTTTGTTTTAAAATTAATAGCAAGTGAAAAATAGTACAGTGGCATGTTGAGACCATATAAAATTCCAGATGGACTTGGAATTTATTATAGTATTGGGCAGCTTTTGCCAGATGCAGTGTTCTTTGAATAAATGTAAAGCAGAAATAGCTTAAATTTCTGATGGGATCCTGATTTGCTATCGAATAACTTATGAGTCCTTGTATCTCAACACTGTGAAAATAAAATTTCTGTGATAAATTTCTTAAAGTCAATAAAGTAAAAAACTCTTCCTTAGCCAGTTTTTGGTTTTCATTTAATATATACTTTTAGGTAAGATTTCTTTTGCATTTAGCTCAGCAGTTCCTAAAATCCTTTCCAGGGCGTCTTTGAGGTCAGCACAATTTTCTTTTTTTCTTTTTTTTTGAAGCAGAGTTTCACTCTTGTCGCCCAGGCTGGAGTGCAATGGCATGATCTTGGCTTACTGCAGCCTCTGTCTCCTGGGTTCAAGCAATTCTCCTGCCTCAGCCTCCAGAGTAGCTGAGATTACAGGCACCTGCCACTACGCCCAGCTAATATTTTGTACTTTTAGTAGAGACGGGGTTTCACCATGTTGGCCAGGCTGGTCTCAAACTCCTGACCTCAGGTGATCTGCCCTTCTCGGCCTCCCAAAGTGCTGGGATTACAGGCATGAGCGAGCCACTGCGCCCGGCCTCAAGTGTGACTCTTAAGTTTAGTCTCTCTTCCACTTTGTGTTAAATCTTGAAAGAAGAATTTTGAAAAGCACTAGAATGAAATGTGAAAAATAAAGCCCCTTTTACAGTAACTTGTTGTTTATGTTGTGCTGTGTTTTATGCTGTAACTTTTTGAGTCTATCCTTGCAGCTGCTGAAGTTAGTGTTGCTTGATAATTCTTACTTGGTCTGCTCTGAATGTTTCTTGAGGTTCACTTTTACCCCACAAGTAAAATAGGGTGGATACAAAGATAAGTGACCTGTCATTGTTCTCAAGGGATGCAGTGAAATCAGATAACTGTAGAGTAGAGCAAGGCCTATTGTGAAGTACCTTAAGCATATATGGGTGCTGCTTTGTAGCAAAGAGGAGTCTCCCCCTGGAGATGAGCGAGAGTCTCATGGATCAGACTCTGGCTCAGAGGCATTGTTCAACCTTATTTATTTATTTATTTCGAGATAGAGTCTTGCTGTATTGCCCAGGCTGGAGTGCAATGGTGCGATCTCGGCTCAGCACCCTCCGCCTCCTGGGCTCAAGTGATCCTCTTACATCAGTCTCTAAGTAGCTGGGACCACGGGCTTGGCTACTTTTTGTATTTTTTGTAGAGACGTTGCCCAGGTTGGTCTTGAACTCCTGTGCTCAAGCGATCCGCTTGCCTTAGCCTCCCAAAGTGCTGGGATTGCAGGCATAAGCCATCATACCTGGCCCGTCCAACTTTAAATTTATCTTCTGAATTCTCTTTACTCTTCATCCACACTAATAGTCGATTTATCTCACGCTAAGGTTTACAGATTACTTGCGCTCAGGAGTTCGAGATCAGCCTGGGCAACATGGTGAAACCCTGTCTCTACTAAAAATACAAAAATTAGCCAGGTGTGTTGGCACATGCCTGTAATCCCAGCTACTCAGAAGGCTGAGGCAGGAGAATCACTTGAACCCAGGAGATGGAGGTTGCAGTGAGCCGAGATTGTGCCACTGCACTCCAGCCTGGGTGACAGAGCGAGACTCCGTCTAAAAAATAATTATACAAATACATAAATGAAATTTAAAATTTAACTGGTAAATTTTAAAAAGTGGTTTTCATTAGTGATCTACATGAGAGATGCCATTGTGGTGATTTTTGTCTTTGGTTAGGTTGGATTTCAGTGATTTTGGTCCTTTTTACGGTGAACCAAGGGATCATATAAGAATGTAAGATTGGCCGGGCGCGGTGGCTCAAGCCTGTAATCCCAGCACTTTGGGAGGCCGAGACGGGCGGATCATGAGGTCAGGAGATCGAGACCATCCTGGCTAACACGGTGAAACCCCGTCTCTACTAAAAAATACAAAAAACTAGCCGGGCGAAGTGGCGGGTGCCTGTAGTCCCAGCTACTCGGGAGGCTGAGGCAGGAGAATGGCGTGAACCCGAGAGAAGGAGCTTGCAGTGAGCTGAGATCCGGCCACTGCACTCCAGCCTGGGGGACAGAGCAAGACTCCGTCTCAAAAAAAAAAAAAAAAAAAAAAAAAAAAAAAAAAAAAGAATGTAAGATTTACTGTTACTGTTGCAGAGCTGGTTGCTGTTTTAGCTCTGTAGGGTGTGCATTAGAATTCAGTTAGCTGTGTCTTATACAACAACAATTTGTCAAATCCTAATTAGGTAAAGAGTATAATTTTGTATGTGATATTTTCTAGTGCTAATAGTGCCAATGCAGCAGTAACTTTATTGATCTTCACTGGTGAAATGTTATTAGACCTGCAAGTAAATGGCCCTTTTAGTGCTATATTTCTCTGAGTAGTTCATTAAAAAGAACATCCAAAGAATTTTAAATTGCTTTATTCTTGCTTTGAGCTAGGTGAGTCTTTTTCTAAGTTACTGTTTAAGGTTCATTTTCAATTCAGTTTTAAAAGTTTGAAAGTAGAAAAGATCTGATACTCCATTCATTACCCTCATGCTATTCATAAAGAACTGCTTCAGCAAGGGCATTATATTTGATAAAGTCCCTTCTGTGAGGCTGGGCGTGGTGGCTCATGCCTGTAATCCTGGCACTTTGAGAGGCCAAAGTGAGCAGACTACTTGAGCCCAGAAGTTCAAGACCAACATGGTGTAACCGCGTCTCTACTAAAAATACATAAAATTAGCCAGGTGTGGTGATGTACGCCTGTAATCGCAGCTACTCTTGAGGCTAAGGCATAAGAATTGCTTGAACCTGTGTGGTGGAGGTTGCAGTGAGCTGAGATTATACCACTGCCCTCCAGCCTGGGCGACAGAGCAAACTCTATCTCCAAAAAAAAGTGAATTAATTTTTAAATTGATATGTAATACTTGTGTATATTTTTGGGATACCATCTGCCATTTTTAAGTTGGAGTTTTTGTTCCTTTGAGGCCCTGATAATTTTATGGTTATAGTTGAACTGACAAGATAAATGTTTAATTATTATTATTATTTTTTGAGACGGAATCTTGCTCTTTCACCCAGGCTTGTGTGTAGTGGTACAATCTTGGCTGCAACCTCCACCCCCTGGGTTCAAGCAATTCTGCTTCAGCTTCCCGAGCAGCTGGGATTACAGGCGCCCGCCATCATGCCCGGCTAATTTTTGTATTTTTAGTAGAGATGGGGTTTTGCCTTGTTGGCCAGGCTGGTCTCGAACTCCTGACCTCAGGTGATCCATCCGCCTCAGCTTCCCAAACTGCTTAGGATTACAAGCGTGAGCCACTGCACCCAGCAAATGTTTAAATTTAAAATTGATTAGTTTGAAGAAAATACTGAATGAAATGTTGATTTGATCTGTTTCAATATCCAAACAGATAATGTGCTTTGTACTAATAAATTCTTTGAATTTTATTTGTGTAGAAGAAATTGAGGAAGAATCTGAAACAACAGTTGAGGCTGACTTGACTGATAAGCAGAAACATCAGTTGAAACATAGGGAACTCTTTTTGTCACGCCAGTATGAATCTCTGCCCGCAACACATATCAGGTAAGAACTTTTTAGGAACTAAAGTACTCAGTACTACAGTGACCAAAAAACAAAAGACTTATTTGAAGCGTTTTCCAGACTCTTCTCAGGATCTTGCTTAAACTACTTTGCTAAAGGCTTCATAATGAAATTTTAGGTTGGAAATTTATAATGTATATTAGCATATTAAAGCCCCACAAAAGTTCTCCAGTAAAGTAACCATTTTAACTTTGTTTTAATACAGACTTTCCTGGCCAGGTGCAGTGGCTCACGCCTGTAATCCCAGCACTTTGGGAGGCCGAGGCGGATGTATATCATTTGAGGTTAGGAATTCGAGACCAGCCTGGCCAACACGGTGAAACCCCATCTCTACTAAAAATACAAAAAATTAGCTGGGTGTGGTGGTACGTGCCTGTAATCCCAGCTACTCAGGAGGCTGAAGCAGGAGAATTGCTTGAATCTAGGAAGCAGAGGTTGCTGTGTGCTGACATCGTGCCACTGCACTCCAGCCTGGACGACAGAGTGACGCTCTGTCTTTAAAAACAAACAACAACAACAACAAAAGGCCTTTCCTGATTGATTTGAGTATCTTTTCAGAACGGTACAGAAGAGCGTCCAGCAGACATCATTTTGGGAAATGCTGGTCTGCCAGGTTCTAAGAAAATTATATAGCCATTAGAAGCCAAAGGTTAGAACCTAAAGTCTGCTTCCCAGGCAGTTGACTCTTGACCTTATAGGATGTATGGCTTTTTGTTTTCTTTTGAGAATCACTGGGATGAAAACTTTATATTCTTTATTATTCCTTAATAACACCTGATGTATACATTGATAGCATACAAATGTGAAGAAAATAGGTGACTGATTTGGGCAATATCTCTGGTTCTCTAACATGGACCACCCTTCCGTTAATTAAATTCTTCTTCTACTGCAGAAAAAACAAAAAGTGAAAAAACCCAGCCCCTTGTTTGTTGTTTTGGCAATTGTTGAGGAAAAATGGTGGTTTTCTATGATCTACTGGTGGTGATTAAATTTAAGATATTGTTGAGCTGTTTTTCATTGTCATCTATAATCAGTGCAGCTTAGAGGTATCACAAAATGTTTGAGCTCAAAAGATTCTGACCCTCGATCAGGAAAGCTTCAGGAGGAATTGCTACTTACTCAGCCTTCCAGAGGGTGTGAGGCACAAATAGAGGGCACAGGTGAGCATAGGGTGTATGAAAGCAACAGCATGTGACCAGGGTGAGGATGTGTGAGCAAGTGTGGTGTTTCACTCTCTTAGGTTAAAGAAATGCCTTCAACTTTTGTTCATAATCTGTATTTCTATTTCTTTTATCCAGCTCTGCTGGTCATAGTGGTCCTAAAAAAACTATATACATAGAAATAAAATGCAGTATTTCTTTTTTTTTCTTTTTTTTTTTTTTTGAGACGAGTCTTGCTGTCCCGCCCAGGCTGGAGTGCAGTGATACGATCTCAGCTTACTGCAACCTCTGCCTCCTGGGTTCACGCCATTCTTCTGCCTCAGCCTCCTGAGTAGCTGGGAGTACAGGTGCCCACCACCACGCCTGGCTAATTTTTTTTTTTGTATTTTTAGTAGAGACAGGGTTTCACCATGTTTGCCCGGATGGTCTCGATCTCCTGACCTTGTGACCTGTCCGCCTTAGCCTCCCAAAGTGCTGGAATTACAGGCGTGAGCCACCATGCCCAGCCAAAATGCATTATTTCAATAATTGCTTTTTCCTCTTTATCCCCCAATATTGTGATTGAATCTGAGTCTGTCTTTTTGGGTTCAGACAGGTTTGTAGACTTTTTTTTTTTTTTTTTGAGGCGGAGTCTTGTTCTGTCGCCAGGCTGGAATGCAGTGGCGTGATCTTGGCTCACTGCAACCTCCACCTTCTGGGTTCAAGCAGTTCTCCTGCCTCAGCCTCCCAGATAGCTGGGATTACAGGCACATGCCACCATGCCCAGCTAATTTTTTGTATTTTTTTTTTAGTAGAGACAGGGTTTCACCATGTTGTCCAGGCTGGTCTCGAACTCCTGACCTCGTTATCCACCCACCTAGGCCTTCCAAAGTGCTGGGATTACAGGCGTGAGCCACCGTGCTCAGCTGAGGTTTGTAGACTTTCTAAAGCTCTGGTACTTACACATACATATACATGTACACACACACCCACACACACCAATTCCTGGTACCTTTGTGCACAACTCCTTTTTTATAGAAATGAACCCAGAGATCTTCTATGGCAGGAAGTGTGTGATAAAGATATAGAATTTATTTTTCTCCAGATCTTTTCAGAAATAACATGAGCCACTCACTCACCCACATCGAAAACCTCATATCATTGTTTTTATTTGGTTTTGTTTGTTTTTGTTTTCTACATTGAGATGCAGTCTTTGGGAGGCCTAGGTGGGAGGAGGATTGCATGATGCTGGGAGTTTGAGCCCAGCCTGGTCAATAGAGCAAGACCTTGTCTCTACCAAAAATATAAAAATTAGCCAAGTATGGTGGTGTGTGCCTGTGGTCCCAGCTAATTGGGAGGCTGAGGTGGGAGGATTGCTTAAGCCCAGGAGTTTGAGGCTGCTGTGAGCCACAGTTATACCACCGCACCCTAGCCTGGGGGACAGAGTGAGACCCAATGTGAAATAAATAATAAATAGGTGAGATAGATAAATAGTAGATAGATAGAGAGATATAGAGCTGGCTGTGTTGCCCAGGCTGGTCATGAGCTCCAGCAATCCTCTTGCCTCAGTCTCCTGAATGGCTGGGACTACAAGTGCATTCTGCTATGGCCTGCTATTTAGGATTTTTGTTAGGGGGCACTATGGTTAGATTTGCTAGGGTTAGTATATTCTGTACGACTTAAGTCATTTGCTGGAAAAGACAGTTAGGCCAGGTAATAATGGGAATAGTCTTTTTATCGACCAATAATGCTTTTTCAAGAAATAAAAATAGTAGGTGAATAATTTTTGTTCAAAGAGATGGAACATAAAAACATATTTTGAGATTTTCTTAAGGTTGTGTGTAACTAATGATGCTAAAGAGCCATATGCGCTTTTTATTGATTGACTGATTGTGCAGGACCTGCTTTGTTGCCTAGGCTGGAGTGTAGTGGCATGATCATAGCTCACTGCAGCCTTGAACTCCTGGGCTCAAGTGATCCTCCCACCTCAGCCTCCTGAGTAGCTGAGACTACAGGCATGTGCTACCATGCCTGGCTAATTTTTTATATTTTTTGTAGAGATGGTGTCTTGCCGTGGTGACCAGACTGGTCTTGAACTCTTGACCTAAAGTGATCTGCCTCCCAAAGTGCTGGGATTACAGGTGTGAGTCACGAGCATGGCCTCCATTTATTTAATTGGAAGACACTAGAATATAAAGATTAATTTTAAGTTTAAGAAGTTATGTGGGGCTGGGCGTAGTGGCTCACGCCTGTAATCCCAGCACTTTGGAAGCCAAGGCAGGCGGATCACTTTAGGTCAGGAGTCTGAGACCAGCCTAGCCAACATGGCAAAACTTCATCTCTACTAAAAGTGTAAAAATTAGCTGAGCATGGAGGCACAGCTACTCTGGAGGCTGAGGCAGGAGAATTGTTTGAGCCTGGGAGGTGAAGGTTGCAGTGAGCCAAGATCGCACTACTGTACTCCAGCCTGGGCAACAAGTGAGACTCTTGTCTCAAAAAAAAAATTTTTTTAAATAAGTAAATAAATAAAAAAGAAGTTATGTGGCCAGTCTTAAGACTCTTGCCAGAATAAGAATCTGACAAATGGTTTTAAAAATGTATCTAAAAGACGCAAGTATATTTTTAATTTACTCTCCTGATAGCTTGGAATCTGTTTATAAGTAACGTTGGTTTCTTTTAACAGATTGCCTGGAATGGAAAAACTAGTGATGTATTTTTTATCTTCCATAAGGACTGACAGAGTATATTAAAATATAATTATCAAGACACTTCTTTGTTGAACATAGAAATTACATAGTCTACATGATCATTTAGTTACTGTTGAACACATTGCCTGATTATATTCTAGCTTAGGGAGCTTAATAAGTGCTTGATAATTGAGACAAGGGACCTGGCTTAGAAACTCAGTGAATTTACCGGGTGGTAATTCCTTTGAATTATGATGAAGAGACATAGACATTTGGGGCTTTTTGTTTTTTTCCAAATTGAGAAGGAATAGGGCAGAGCCACGTTTTCTCATTTGTGGCCATCATTTTTAAACAGCTGAGTGGGGTTGGGGCAGTCCCTGGCCAAGGCATGGAGCTGTGCTAACCAGCCCACATGCTGATGTAGAACAAGTGCACATTGGAGTGGTCTTGACATTTTGCTAATGTTGAAGTCATGCCTTATCTTTTTGGCTCTAAAAGGAGAAAATTACCAAAGCCCCATTGTTCTTTGGCAGCAAAGAGGGTAATTTGGTGAATACTGGTGTTTTACTCTCAGGGACACTATCAAGTGCCCAGAATTTCCTTGGTGCTCTTTGGAACATAGAAGAAAAACTGACTGAGGCATTCTTGAATTCCTTTGTGGTGTGTGAACTATAATATTCATGAGATGCTTACGCTTCCCAAAGTGACAGGGAGGAAACTCTTTGTTTCTTCTGATTCCACTGGAAGAGAGTGGATAGGACTAGGACTTTTTGGAGTAGAGTTAATGATTCATCTCGTTTGTGAGATAGATAGGGCTTGAGTAGTGAGTATCCCTTTGGGACATTTTTTTGAGGGAAAGTGAGAGGCAGCGTGCTTCATTTTTATACACAGTGATTGAGGTCATTGAATAATAGATTATGTGTTGCAAACATTAAGCACTATAAACCTTGTATGTCAGCTGCTATATGTCATATGTATATATTTTACTGTATTCAGTTTCAATATGTGTGTATGACTAATATCTTCATTAACAGATTTTCTTTTTTGTTTTTTTTTGAGACGGAGTTTTGCTCTTGTTGCCCAAGCTGGATTGCAGTGACATGACTTTGGCTCACCGAAACCTCTGCCTTCCGGGTTCAGGTGATTCTCTTGCCTC